CAAGCTATGACAACAGTCGCAAGGATAAGAAGGAGGCTAAGGAACGGGAGCTGAACAAGAAGAGTACGAAGAAGAGCAACGTCGTCGAGACCGAGCCGCTCGACGTCAGTCTCGTAGCAGGTCACAGGCCAGATCCCTCTACTCCGAGCCGCGAACTGATGGCCCGATAGGTCTGGTTGAGTACGGCACCGACCCACTCCCTCCTTCGCAGCCCCCCTATCCGACCAACGATTACGGCTACGAGTCGGCTTCGAGCCAGCGGAGGCGACGACGCTCACGAGGTCGCGGTGCCGACGATTATTCTCCTTCCGGATCGGATACGGGTAAGAAGCGAAGCCGCAGCCGGATAAGAGACATGGCGGCAGCCGCTGTCGGTACAGGCGCCGCGGCCATCGGCATTAAGGAGTACAAGAAGAAGAAGGATGCGGAGAAGGAGAGGGAGGATGAAGCCGCTCGCAGGGCGCGAGAAAGGTCTCTGTCTCGTGACTACTCTCGAGACCGCTCACGAAGGCGAGACGAAGATCGCAGACGTATGCATGATCCTAGCTTCTACCAGCCCTCGTCTTGTGGCGCCGCACCATCGTGATGTACTGACACGCTCACAGGTTACGAAGAAGAATCGAATCCCAATCCGCACTATGACGATTACAGCCGTCCTCCATCTCCACCACATGCGTCAGGTGGTGCCTACTACCCTCCGCCCACTGGATCTGGGTTTTCTCAAAACCAGTCTGTCAATGACCCGTACCCGCCTTACAGCCCTCATGCGTACACTGGATTCCCGCCTCCACAGCCGGGCGGGCCACCGACTGCTTCAGGAGCTGCGGGAGGCTTCCCAACGCCAACCCCAGGCGGACCTCCGTTGTCGTATCCAGGCGGGCCTCCCCCCATCGGTGGTGGCCCGCCCCCAGCAGGCGGCAGGCTTGGCCCCGATCATGTGAGTGATGACACATTTCACACCACCACTCCCAAAGACTCAGTCTCCCGAAATGCGGCACCGCCGATTGCCACGCGTGAGGGTGCGTCGATCTAAGTGCAATGCTGCCGTGTTGTCTCGCGTGATTTAGCACTGCATATCACCTGTCCGTTCCTGCGCTGATCATGCCCGCAGATGGTTTGAGGAGGCAGTCGCCTCGGCGACGAGAAAGACGGTCGGCATCAATATCATCGTCCCCGGAAGCGATGAGGTCTGTGGACGCCATGTCTATGGCTGCGTCTACATCTGCTACGAAATCCGTCACTTGGGGTCCCTTGTCGCCTAAGTCATCTTTCACGTTGGAACGACATCGACAAGTCCACGAGCATCAACTTGAAGAGTCTGCTACAGACAGTGTCGAGGAAGGGTTTGAGCCACCAGTACTCAGCGAGGCACAGCTGGCAGCTCTTCGTCCGGTTCCTTTGCGACGCCGCTCTTCAGATCCCACCCCAAACCGGCCTATAGCACGCCGGGGTCGCACGTCTGAGGTTGACAACGACGTTGAGGACTTGCCGGACAGATTTGACGATCATGGACGACCATTAGATGGCAGGGGCGTGACCTCGCGGGGCCCCAGATACCAAAGCGGGAGCTTTGAGTACCGACCCCGCAATGACGACCAAGGAAAGTGGAATGTCAATGGTTCATGGGCTGCGACGGGAACCGACAATGAGGTCGTGCATAGACTCGTGGGTGACGTGGAAGGGTTGGTTTCGGGTCGCAAGAACTGGGGAGATGTTTTGCAGGACCTTGTAAAGGGCTTGCAGAGTGGTGGAGGGAATGAGGTGTTGGATGACCGCCAGCGCAGGAGCCGAAGGCACACAAAGAGAAAGGGACTGGACTACGACTAACGATTGGATTTCCTGATATCGACTGATCAACGTATAGGTGTGTTAGATTTTCATGACTGACGATGAATGAGGGAAGATTTTTTTTCTGGATTGTCCGCTGCAGGTTTGAAGCTCGTCGGCATCTATATTGACTTTCTTATTGAAGTGATGCAGTAACTCGATTAGCACGGGCAATCGATCGACTACTCAAGACAGGCAAATTCTGTTTGCATGTTGACGTTCCTCGGTGAGATGGGCGGGATTGATAACGCGTTCCACAGGCATGCCACTTCTCGCATTGCACGCGGGGAAGAGGTTTTCCACACGCCCGATAGCGAATGCATGTATGCTGTGGAGACGAGGTTGGCTTCCCCTCGGGATGTTGTATTGCGATTGAACGCTCTGGGAGCAAGCATCATCGGACTTACTCTTCAAGCCAGAGATGCAAAGTGAGGCGACGACGGCTGCAAAGAAAAACGGATCTTCCTGCAGAGCCCACTGTTTGTTGATATCCGGGCATCTTGACTGGACTACAACTGCCTGCCACTGGTGGAGATGTGCATTCGATACGTACAGCATACGTTGGTATCTAGTCGAGGCTGATTCATCGACAGTAGACGCGGAAGAGTGGATTCAGGTATATCGGAGTTCACAGGAAGCCCATTTCTACTGGGTTACCTAGCTTAGTACATATGTAGCGCCTACGACAGTCCGCCCAACATGCAGTACCGTCCTGCCTGCTTACAGGTCACTGCCCTCTAGGCCTCCTCTTTGTCTGCCTCACCGCCCACGAGAACACCGGGCCAGACGAGAAGAGGGTCCGTTTCGTTTTTAAAAACACATCGCCTCTGCTCTCTCTGCAACTGTCACTCAACCTGGCCCCCTTTCTTACCGGGCGCGCATCAGGTCAACAACGCGACCTCTACCCCACTCAGAAATAAGAAACAATCATTGTCTCTTGAGAAGTGTAGCGCGTTTCTTCTGTGTCAACTCTGCCCGATAAATTGATTGTTGTGCGTTCTGAACTCAGCTAGCGGCTTAACCCAACGACCAGACAGGCAGCTGCCAGCTTTTCCCTGCCTTCCTCCAACGACCTCCACAACCCAACCCCTCAACAGCTATCATCGCAGCTCTCACCTACCACTTCGCACCCATCATGGCTGAAGAGGACGAGCGTGACACCTCGTCAGGTGAAGAGTATACTGATTCGAGCGATGAAGAGACCGCGTCCACCAGTTCTGGCGAGCACACGGACCCCGAGACCTTGCGCCTCTGGTACACAAATCTCCTTCCTCGAACAGTCGACATTGTCGGCGATTTCGCTGGCAGGGAGCTTTTCGTCATTCATGGCGAGGGCCTGCTGAGGCACTGCATCACCGAAGCCAAAGTTGACTTCCAAGATGGTATGCAGCTCCTTCACGCCGTCTACGCTGTGGAGAAATTCCTCGACGAGCTGAGGCAGAGAGGTTGCAACTTCGACATCCTCTTCTTCAATGCCCATGCAAATGCGGTACTTCCTGAGTCAGTCGCGGCTGAGAACGCCTCAATGGCGACGGCTAAGTTCGCACTGGCGAGAACCGTTCTGATCGAGCACCTGAAACGGCACGCGAGGAACGCAGGGAACGTCTCTGATCGTCGAACCAACGTCACAGTCTTTGACGACTTTGACTCTGAGGACTTCCGTCGCTACCGTGCTGAGAATGCTGTGCATTTCTTCCTCTGTAACGAGGGCACGTCCTATGGCGAGAACGACGAGAGTGTAGGTGCCGGAAGGACCGTCGTTCTGAGGCATTTCATCTACAGGCTCGTATCCGAGGGGTATCATGTGGCCGTCATCAATGACGTCCAGTTCATGAGCTCCAAGGTATGTTGGAACTGATACCGGGTCACAATCATGGGCTCGCACTAACTCGGACAGATTTTCACAACCCTCATTTCGGGATCAAACACAAGACTTGCTGTTCTCGACCTGCCCGAAGGCGTTTCTCAATCCGCTGAAAACGCGGCTTTGATCTCTCTGATCGACCAGATCAAAACGCCTCTCGTCGAGAAAAACATCGCTGGCGAATCAGCAGATAGACTCACCGTGCGCGAGCTAGTAGTTATTGCTACCCTCAAACAGATCTTGCAGTCTGGCAACTATGGATCCGAGGCTGCCGCGCTCCTACTCCACACCGCCTTACTCGGTGCGTCCAGTCTGTCCGAAAGGCTTTGCGGCAACGCCTCAAAGGCAGTGGCCGGAACCCAAGCATCTTTCTTGGACAAATTCTTTAGGACGGCTCGCGATATTATTAAGGGTCTGTCCCAAGATGCATCGCTTGACAACCTGACCTGGGATATTTACGATTTAGTTGATGGTAATATCTTGGCTACCCTTCTACAGGACGAGGATGCCAGTGACTCTATTTCTTTGAGAGTCCTAACCCGTGCGAATCTTCTGAGGAAAGCACTTGCCGAGGCTACCGATGAGTCCAAAGTCTCGTCCATTCCCCAATATGACGAAGATGAGGATGACGAGGAGGGGGCAAAGGAGTCGGCAACCCAGCACCGCAACACATCTGTCCTTCCTTTCTCTCATCCAGTCTTTGACAAACACCTCGACTCCGTCCAGGTCCGACCTGACGCACGATCCTCCAAGTCGACGACGGCAGCCAGCATCTTCGAAGAGCTGAGTAACTGGAACAAAGACAAAAAGCCTGTCGATCCTCGCAAGCCTCCCCCGAAGCTCGGTTTCTGGGCGAAAAAGCGTCATCAGAAGCTTATGGCGGACATCGTCACATATTCCGCTTCACTCACCAACGCAACCGGCAGAATCATAGACCCTGAAGTTGTCGTCTCCGGTACCGGCAACCAAGCAAAGGTTGCTAAGCAAGTCGAGAAGGCGAAGAAAGTCGGCGGGGGTAAGGCGAAAGCGCTTGCAGCGGCGAAGGCCCTCCAGGCGTCGAAGCATGAGAAGAAGGGAAACACGGCCATCGAACACTGGAAGTCAACCATTGCCGAGCTAGACGAGGAGAAGAATCTCGTCAAGCGGTATGGTAAGGCGTTGAGGTATATCCACAATCGACCCTCAGAGGCGTTGGCTGTTGTTGGCCCGGAGGGTTACCTTTACATGTGCAATGTACTTGTTCTCATGTGGAAGAAGCGATGCGAGACCACCAAGAGGAAACTCAAGGGTATGCACCGAACCTAATAGTACGCGGTGGACCAAACTGACAGCGTTGCAGGAATTGACATTGTGGCTCTCCTCTGGGACAGGCTGCTCTATATCGCGCGGTCTCCCAACGCAACCCCTGAGGTTCTCAAAGCCGTTGATCTGATCAAGACCTGCGTGAACCTTCCATTCCCCGAATTGGTGAAGAACGAGACCGCCTCGCGCGATCTGAGCTTCAAACTTTCTATCAAGGCGTCCAACAAGGACCTCGCCATACCTCTGAATCTGACCGAGTTTCAGCTTGAGCACTCAGGACCTTACATGGAACGCAATTTTGACTCGAAGCCCGATGACAGAGTAACATTCGATCCCGATGCCTGGCAGAGAAAGGTTCTCGATACTATCGATGCCAATAACAGTCTGATGGTAGTCGCGCCCACTTCTGCCGGTAAGACTTTCATCTCATTCTACGCGATGAAGAAGATCCTCCAGGCCAATGATGACGATGTCCTTGTCTATGTCGCCCCCACCAAAGCATTGGTCAACCAGATCGCAGCTGAAGTCGCTGCGAGGTATTCAAAGTCATACACTAGAGAAGGCAAGTCTGTATGGGCTATTCATACTCGCGACTACCGAGTGAACAATCCGACTGGGTGCCAAGTCCTCGTTACTGTACCTCATGTACTGCAGACCATGTTGCTTGCCCCAAGCAATTCCGACCGTCCCAGCGCCTGGGCGCGCCGCGTCAAGAGAATCATCTTCGACGAAGTACACTGTATCGGCCAAGCCGAAGACGGCATTGTCTGGGAACAACTCCTGCTACTTGCGCCTTGCCCCATCATCGCGCTGTCCGCCACGGTTGGCAACGCAGGCGAGTTCCACGACTGGCTCGCTGTGTCGCAGGCCCAAAAGGGCTACAAAATGGAACTGGTCGTCCACAATGCTCGATACTCCGACTTGAGAAAGTTCGTTTACTGCCCGCCGAAGCAGCTAAAGATGGATGTCTTGGCGAAACAGGATCAGTTACCAATTCCAGGCATCGATCAAGGGGAGGAGAGGAACCCACGATTCTTCTTCACCCACCCCATTGCTGCGTTGCTCGATATCAATCGTGGCAGCTTGGACGATGTCAGCCTGGAGCCTCGCGATTGTTGGACTTTGTGGAAGTGTATGGACAAGCACCAGACTACCGACTTCCCGGTCGCGAAGTCTTTGGACCCTGGCAGTACGTTGCCAAAAATCATCAGCAAGGCTGATATCCTCAGTTGGGAGGCTGGGCTGAAGAAGGTCCTCCAGCAATGGATGGTAGTCCCTGAATCGCCATTCAGTGCAGTAAGAACCGAACTCTTGGGATCTGCTTTTGTCGAACTACAAAAGGATTTCGTCTCCCAGGGAAAACGTCTCAAAGAACGCACGACAATCATCCCGCTGTTGTATGATCTTAACGAGAACGACAGTCTGCCCGCCATAGCATTCAATTACGACCGCGCACAATGCGAGGAAGCTCTCAAGACTGTCCTGGCACACCTCTCAGCTAAGGAGACGGCTTGGAAGGAGTCGAGCAAAGAGTGGAAGCAGAAGCTTGCGGACTATGAGGAGTGGAAGAAAGCCGGGCTCAAGGCGGCAAAGGCCAAGCCCAAAAAGGACAGACCTGCAGCCGGCAACAAGGACGACAGGCAGGGCGGCTCTCGCGACGACAACAAGAACTCAAAGATGCAGACAGCCCAAGCCAACGCTAGCATTGAGGTCAGCCCTTGGGAGAGTTTCGATCCCGAGGACCCTCTCGAGCAGTTTAGCTTCGGCGATCGCACGAGACTATCGCGAACCGAGTTTGCTGAGATGACAGATGACCTGAGCAGCGACAAAGTTGATCAATGGCTAGTCCAGTCTCTCAAGAGGGGTCTCGGCGTGCATCACGCTGGTATGAATCGAAGGTACCGTCAGGTGTAAGTTCATCTCCTCCCCTTTAGCCAAGTGCCTTTGGGAAATGGTTTTGCTGACTTGGGACAAGGGTCGAAATTTTGTTCCGCAAGGGCTACCTGGGAGTCGTCATGGCCACTGGCACCCTCGCGCTCGGTGTCAACATGCCTTGCAAGACTGTCATCTTCAACGGCGACTCCGTTGACCTAACAGCGCTGAACTATCGTCAGGCTGCCGGTCGTGCCGGTCGAAGAGGCTTCGACTTGCTCGGCAATGTCGTCTTTGCCGACATTGCTCCCAACCGCGCCTTCGAGATCATGTCACTTCGACTTCCTGATCTTCGCGGTCACTTCCCTGTCTCTACGACTCTTATCCTTCGTCTCTTTGGTCTCCTGAATGGAACCAAGAATTCCGACTTCGCTACTGCTGCCGTCAACTCACTGCTTTCGCAATCACGCCTGTACCTTGGTGGTCCCGAAGGCGGGTTGGCCATAAAGCATCACATGCGTTTCTCCATCGAGTACCTGCGTCGACAGCACCTGCTCTCAGAGAAGGGCGCTCCTATCAACTATTCAAGTCTTGTGAGCCATCTTTACTTCACCGAGAATGCTGCGTTTGGGTTCCATGCTCTGCTCAAAGGAGGTTACTTCCACCGCATCTGTGGCCGTATCAACGAGAACCCCGCTGCCGTGCTCAACCAGCTTGTACTCGTCATGTCACACCTGTTTGGCCGCCAAGTCATCAGGACCAATGACCGAGAGTACATGGAAGTTATCGTGCGCAACTCGCAGTCCGTGATTTTCCTCCCACGTCTGCCCAAGGCGGCTGAGCGCATTTTAGTGTCGCACAACCGCGACACACTCAACTTGTTCAAGGGTTACGTCACATCCTACGCCTCGCAGCACCTGTCAGACGTCCCCGACAACGTTCTTCCCTTTACTAAGACCACCGTCGGCGCCCACGAGCCTACCAAAGGACAGGCTCCCTTCGACCGTACACCCAGCCCCTCGATCCGTTCCACTTTCGCCGCGCTCTCTGGTCATACAGATGAGAGTCTCAGCTCGGTACACGATCTGTGTTCCACAGTCCGTGCAGGCGTCTTCCTCGAGGAGGCGACGATCCCACACGTTCCTGTGTATCCGATCGATTCCGATGAGCGCCTCAACGCGTACATCTATGACTTCTTCAAGCATGGCGACCTTGTCGCGCTGACCCGCGACAACCGCATCAAGGGCGGCGATGTTTGGTTCTTCCTTAAGGACTTCTCTGTCGTCCTTGCAACCATCGTGACGAGCCTGACGAACTACATGCGCGCCGATGCGGATGCCGAGGAACTTGGCGAGCTGGACGAGGGCGTTGCGGAGGACGAGGTCAACTTCATGCCATCGCAGCAGACGCAGCGCCCTGCCAAGGCGTCTGTCGCGGAGGCTGCCGCTGCGCCTGTCACGCAGACTCTGCCTATTCGCAAGAAGAAGAAGGTCGCCGATAACTGGGATGACGATGACGACGAAGAGGCTGCGCAGGCGTCGGGCTCATCAGGCGACGAAGAGACTGATAGCGATGGCGACATGGAGGACGAAGAAAACCTGCCCACCGTGCTCAAGGCATTCACCCAGCTCAAGGAGGAGTTTGATGACAAGTTCTTCAAGATCGGAGCTTAAGACCATTTGGGCAGTCTCTGCCTTGCGTGCTAGTTTGCGCAACGCGAACTTGAGAAATGGGCTATCCCCAAAGAATACATTCGGTGACTGATGTTTGCGTCCGCTGTTGCTCTGTACTTTGCGTATGACACTTCGAAAAGTGGTATTCGGCTGCTTGGGCATCGAAGGCATCGCATCCAACGTATGCACTTTTGAACTCCATACATCAAGAAAAAGTGGATCATCAGCTCGTCTGTCGTCATTAAATCGTGGCCTAGGCGTACTAAAGTGATACTAAGGCAATATTGTGCAAGAGTTTGTATATACGTCAGTTGGCAAAGTTGGCATATGCGTCAAACACCCACCAGGATTGAAATTGAGCACGTTTCTCAATCCTCCTCCTCCTCGTCGCTTGTGGCCTCGAAATTATCCTTCTTTTGCTTCGGTGGCGCCGTGACCCTGGGCTTCTTAGGGGCGTCCTCGCGCGTGGACGCGCCGCCCGCATCCTCGGAGTCCTCGACATCGTGGCCCATGTCGCGAAGCTTGGCGCTGATAGCGGGCGCTGCCTTGAGGAGGGCCTCGAATTGGGGGAGCGAGAGAGAGATGCCCTGGATGACATGTCAGCAAGGGAGTTGTTCAGGGGATTGGGTTCGAAGGCGGCATCGAGGAGAGGGGATGGAAAGGGAGAGCGCAGGCTTACCTTCTTCCCTGGCAGCATATCATCGTCCTTCTGGTAGTATTCGCGGATGTTGATCATGGTCATGTCCTTGAACTTTGAGATGCCGATGCGACGCTTGGAAGAAAGCTCCCAGTACGGATTGCCATCTTTGTCCTTGCCGGCGCCGGCCGAGGTGGCGCTGGCCGTGGTCTTGGTCTTCTTGATAGGCTTGGTGAGAATAGGACCGTCTTCGTCACTGTCGTCGATGCGCGAGACGCTGCGCTTGGTGCCCTTTGCGCCTGCCATAATGGATCGAGGATTGTCGATACTGGGATAGATGGCGCGTCGAGATTGGCGGTGTGCTGGTTGGCGATGGATCTCAAAAACGGTGCTAGGGAGGGACTATTAGAGAAAAGCAGACGATTTCAATGCAATCGGTCGAATCGATTGTCTTGGTGCAACAATGTCACATCAAATTCTCCCTCTGGCTCATGACCGATGTAGGAATTGACAGGGCCTGAGGTTTGGTGGAATTGAATAGTGGCAATCTGGGGTAAGAGGCACGTCGCCTCGCTAAGGGGTAAGAGGTACCTGACGGTATGTCCGTCGCGTTGAGTTGGGCAGTCGCGCTTGCCAAGAATGACGTGGAAGGCTCGACGCCTAGACACGTGACAGTACATACTGGTCCCTGCTGGTGCAGACGAGGCAGCCGCGTCCAGCAGAAGACTATGCCTAGAGAGGCGTTTCAGACCAGGGGTCCCCCCTTGACAGGGCAGCCACGATGCGCCCAGACAGAAAGAAGCCTGAATGCATTCTGTCTGAGTTCATGCATTAGGTACCTATGTACCAGCCGCGCTGATCTGATTCACTTCTGAGCTACACTTGCTTGCGATGCCTTGTCTGACTCGAGGGCCAGGTAGAACAGCCGTCCATACCAACCTTGAGGCACCCGACATGCGAGTTTGGCAGTGGAGGGAAACGCGCTGGAATGAATAAGCGTGACTCGACGTGGCTGGCCTTACAGGGACTGGAGCTTCTGGCACGCACCAACACGCACCGGCAATCCCATTTTTAGAGCACGCCAAGAGGGAGCTAGGAGGGCTGCTAGATTGAGGAACCACCCGCCAAACCACCCCCAAATCTCGAATCTGCGTGTTACAAGCAATTATCCCCCTTTTACTCCTGGCTCCCATCAGCCCTCCACGATCAGACCTTTCAAGCTTTCCGGGGCGAACCCTGGCACTCCGAAACACCAAAGATTCACTCTACAGTCTTCAACAAACTGTTTTCTACCCCGATTGCGCTATCATTGACCCATCCTTCAACGTGTGCATCCGAATTCTGGCCAACTTGGTGTCGCATTACTACCACTCGTCTGATATGGGGATGTAACCTCGCTGAGCACGCGACACTACCTACAACAACCTTCGCCATGAACT